CCTCCCCAGTGCTGGAGTTACAGGCATGTGCCACCATGCTCAGCTCCCTTTAGCGGTCAGTGCTACTAAGGAGCCAGATCCAAAACCTCCGATGTCTTCCATCTCATTCAAAGTAATAACCAAAAGTTTTTATTTTTTTGGTACTGGGAATTGGATTCACAACCTCATGCTTACCTTGTTGGTGCTTGTTCAACTGAACTAAATCCCCAGCCATAACCAAAAGTTTTACAGTATGCTGCCAAGCCCTATGTTCTCTGACCCCCTTCCTAAGTAATAGTCAGACTTCATCTTAGGTTGTACCTTCAACCCAATACTGGAAGCCAAAGCCTTTCCAGAAAGTTACATGTAACTCTAGTGGCCTCCCCTTCCCTTTTTTTCCCCCTCCCCTCTCTTATTTTTTTGTCTTTTTGAGATAGAGTTTTGCCATGCAGTTCAGGCTGGCCTTAAACTCACTGTGTAGCTCAGGCTGACCTTGAACTCGGCAGCGATCTTCCTGCTCAGCCTCCCAAGTGTTGGGATTACAGGGGGTATGCCACCACACCTGACCGCCTGCCCTTTCTTTAAAATTATTTTGAGATAGGATGGCATTAAGTTGCATAGACTAAATTTGAATGTGGCATTGCTCCTGCCTTGGCGTCTTAGAGTGCTGGAATTACAGGCTCTGCCACCATACCCATTTTCTGGTTTTACTCTTCACTCTGCTACAGACATACTGTTGACCTTGATGTTCCTTGTTTAACCACCATGCCTACGTCAGGCGTTTGTTGTGTGCCACTTCCTTTGCTTGGAAGGCTCCTCTACCCCTTAATGTGAATAATATTTCCTGCCTTAGCCTCTTTCAAATATTTGTTTAGCTCTTAACTATCTTTGTGAGGCCTGATCACTGGATTTGACATAAATATGAGGCCTCATCATTCCCCAGGTCTCTTCTTCTGCAAAATACCCACTAATTTTCAGTGTAGATATGAGACTGTTTTAAGTTCTATTATCTGAAGTAGCAGCTGATAAACTTTTCTTATGATTTTTAAGAATTTACACTTAATCATTTTCACAAAGAAAAACATAAAACCGTTGAAATATATAATTTGTGTATGATGTTTAAAGTGAGCATTGATAGTTATTTGTTTGGTATCAGGAATCGAACTTATGTCCTCACACTTACCAGGCAGGTGCTGTGCCACTAAGCTATATCCCTGACCTGAGTGCCTCACATGCATGCACGCACTCGCTGGCGCACATGTGTTCTCTCTCTGTCTCTCTCTCCCCCTTCTTCCCTCTCTCTTTCTCTGTCTCTCTCTCTGTCTCTCTCTCTCTCATTTATTAAAGATCACCAGAAATACTTTCTGAACTCCTTAAGGGGCCATTATTTCACAGAGGAAAAAAATACAGTTATGAAACGTAATCCTTAACTACAATATTTTTTCACTTTTGAGATCCAGCTTATTAACAAGCCAAGTTCTGAGCAGCTAAATAAAATTATTTCGTAGAAAAATTAGAAATGAATGGAATGGATATATTGGTATAAACTAAATATATATCTAGTTAGCTCTCCTTTTTGGTTTTTTGAGGCAGGGTTTCATTATGTAGTGCAGACCAGCCTTGAACTCACTGTGTAGCCCATACTGGCCTCCAACTTGTGGCAGTCCTCTAATCTGTCTCCTGAGTGTTGGGATTACAGATGTGCAATGCCATATCTAGTTAACTCAACTTAAAAACAAAATATAGCTTATGCACCAAGAATATAGCTTTATTTTTAAAATATTGTATCTAAGACTTGTGGAAGAAAGTAGTTCTAGAAATGAATTCATGGCCAAGTTTTATAGTCATTGTGAAAGGGAGGCGTTGGTCCATTGCTGACATAGTACCTGACACATGGTATCTGCTTAATAAATGTCTATTGAAGTCCTTAGACTTTATTTACTGATTGATTCATTAATTTATTTATTCAACAGGTAATATAAGAACTGCCCTCCTAAGAAAGTGCTAAGGTAGAGTATTGTAATAACACAAGAGCTTCTGTAAGTAGGACAGTAGTAGCTTTCTCTGTTTTAAAAAAAAATATGTGCCCTTGCACCCTTTTATATTTTTGTTTTAGTTTTGAGGCAGAAAATTACACAAAAAGATTATTAAGAAACTCAATACATTTACAGTTCTACAGTTTTGTGTTTTGCTGCTTTTTTTTTTTTTCTTTCTGAGATAGAATCTCACTATTTGGTTCAGGCTGGCCTCGAACTCACTTTGCAGCCAGACTGGCTTTGAACTTACAGAAATCCTCGTGCCTCAGCCTCCTGCTTCCTGGAATTACAGGCATGCACCACCATTCCAGCTCTGTTTCTCGCTCTTTTTTTTTTTTTTTTTTGTACTGAGAATTGAACTTGGGTCCTCATGCTTGCCAGGCTGGTGCCACTGAGCTATACCCCCAATACTTATATTTTTCTCATTGTTTCGGTTTTTTGAGCAGGGTCTCACTATATAGGGCAGGCTGGCCTTAAACTATGTAGTCTAGGCTGACCTCAAACTCAGGATAATCCTTCTGCCTCAGCCTCTCAAGTGGTGGGATTACAGGTGTATATCACCATGCCTGGTTTGGGTTTTTCCTTTGTAATACACTCTTAATTCTTACCTAAATTTCAAAGCATTTATAGAATACTACCTTATTTGCTGAATATATTGATCCTAGAATTTCTTTACCTATAAAGTTTTCTAAATAGTTTATATTGTGCTTTTGAAATTGAAGTTTAGATTTTCAAGAGTTTGTATTGTCCTATCTTGCTAAATCATGGGAACAGTCTGAGGAAGAACAGTTGTGAGCATGAAGGATGTGCTTTTCTCTTGGAAAGAAATGACTAATAAACAGGTAAAAAAAATACACTGAACCTTTTTAGTGACAAAGGAAATAGAAATTGGAATGAGTTTTTTTAAACTGTCAGTTTATTAAAATTTAAATACTGGTTTATTCTGACATTGGTGAGGATATGAGAAAAGAATATGTGCCTTTCTATGCTAGTTCTGGGGGTTGATGTGGAGGTAAAGTGTGGGTACACATAGCATAGTACTAACTTGTACTATAGAATTACTTGTACAAATACGTAGTGTTATATGTCCAGTATGTCCTAGAAGGTTCAGCATTACGTGTGAAAATTAAAAGATAGAGCTTTTAATTGTGGTAAAATAATTATTCTGCCATCTATGTTGTAATTATTTACTGCATTACAAAGATTGGAATAGAACTTTATGAACTGATGAGATGTCAGGGATAATTTCAGTTAGCAGTAGCGTATGATTAATTGTAAAAAGCATGAATTATTATCTATTAGTTTGTACTTAGAAAGGTCTGTAGAAAACACAGTGATATGTGCCTGTTGAGATTAGTGGGAAAGAAAGTGGAAGACTTAAAATTTTCATCATCTTTCTTCGGAAGGGTGAGTAAAACAATTATAAAACACTAAAGAGAAAATAATACATATTTTTAAAAGCTTTTAATAGCTGACCTAATTCAGTTATGGGAGGGTACAGTTAAACGTATAAGAATTTTTCCTAATGTTCAATAAAAATATATGTCTTGTTTATCAAATCATAATATTAGAGGAATTATTTATATGGGATCAAACTTACTTATTTTGGCTACTTTTAAAAAATTGCATAGAACCCCCCTAGGACACTCCAACATTGTTTTCCCACTTTTGTTTTGATTGGTAGATATGAATGCTGAAATATGTTCATGAAATAAAAAATTTTGAGGGAGGGAACATTTTAAGTATTTCTATTCATTGAAGGATGAGATTTTGCTTTTATAACAAGACTAAAGAAAATTTGTTACATTCCTTTTTTTTGAGACAGTGTGGTCTTGCTAAGTGGTGTAGGCTGGTGTTGAACTTGTTTATGTAGCCTGAGCTGACTTTGAACTCTCAGCAATCCTGCCTCAGCCTCTCAAGTGCTGGGATTACAGGCATGTACCACTACACCTGGCTGTTATGTTCTTATAGTTTGAAAAACCAAATGTCTTAACATCTGGTTTAAGAATGGTTCAGCCAGGTATAGTGGTGCGTATGTTTTCCTAGAACTCTGCGAGGCTGAGGCAGGAGGACAAGTTTGAGCCCAGACTGGGTGACTTAGTGAGACCCCATTTCAAACTTGAAAAAGGTGTATGTGTCAGGGGAGACTGGAGATGTTCAGTGTGAAGGGCCTGGAATTAATCTCCAGTCCTAGGGGGAAAATTAAGAGTTTTCCTTTTGTTTTTTTCTCCTTAAATAGTTTTGATACAGAATCTCACTATATAGTCTAGGCTGGCCTTCATTCATAGCTATATTTCTTTTGTTTTGGTACTAGGGATCAAACTCATGACCTTGTGCTTACCAGGCAGGCACGTTAGCCACTGAGCTAAAACCCCGGCTCCTCATGGCTATATTTCTGCCTTAGCCTTCTGAGTGCTATAATTATAGGCTTGAGCCATTACATCCAGCCTTAAGAGGTTTGGTTTTTGTGTTTTTGTTTTTATTTTGTTTTATTTTTTGTCTTTTTGAGACAGGATTTCACTGCATGGTTTGGGCTGCCCTTGAACTTTGTAGCCCAGGCTGGGATTACAGGTGTGTGCCACCATGCCTGGCAAGAGGGTTCTTTTAAATGTAAGAAAGATAATGACTTTTTTCATTGTCATAAGCTGTATGTTCTCTGTATTTGAGTGATTACTCTGTGACCTGATATCAGAATCGTTTTCTTGTAGACCTTAAGATTTGTATGAATATTTACTGATACATTTGTTCTTCAGGAACAGGGCAACATTGAGTCAAATAATCTTAAGCCTTGTGACTTGGATTTGTAGGGTGCTGATGGGTACCCCCCTCCTCCCAAAAAAAAGCATCAGAGCAAACTATTATATACCTCCTTATAGTGTAAGTTTAGTTTAAAAAGATTCATTGATGTTTGGTGTTTAAATTTTTGGATATTAACTGAACCTCAAAAATTTTTTTTCCTTTATATGTATTTCTACATGATCGTAGGAGTCTATCCTGAACTTAGATCTACATTTTGGGAGCTTATTTTAGAAAAGATCTAAGTTTTAAAAATTCTGAATGGACAGACAGAGAAAAGAGGGTCTTTGCCAACTCCTTTGGGTAAGAAAACTTAAGACTTTTGCAGATACTCTAAAAATGAAGGTCAACAAAGTAGGCATGTGAAATTGTAAAGTTTTTAAATACAATGACTTGTCATGATTTCTTTCTTTAGACTGCTGCAGTAAGAATGTCTTTCCCCCCTCATTTGAATCGCCCTCCTATGGGAATCCCAGCACTCCCACCCGGGATTCCACCCCCACAGTTCCCAGGCTTTCCTCCACCAGTGCCTCCAGGTAAGTTTTGTTTTTTTTAAACTTATACTTTTGTGATTTTAATATTAACTTTAGGAGAATGATAGAAATGTGACTATGTTAGTAGTTAAGCTGATTTCCTAGTGTCTGGTTTTGAAGGCCCATAAGGCTCTCATTCTTTTGTTTTGATTGGTTTTATACTGTTTTGTTTTTTATTAATTTATTGTATGTGAAGGTATGGACAACTATTTCAAAAAAAGCACGACACTGTGGTAGTCACTGATTTCCTGTTGTCTTGTTTGGAAATTCTGTGTTACTTTGGTATCATTCTGAAAATAAATGTATTTCTCTATAGCAGATTTTATTTTTATTTTTGGTACTGGGGATTAAACTTATGACTTTGCACTTGCCAGGCAGGCGCTTATGCCACTGAGCTAAATTTCCAGTCCTCCTATAGCAGATTTTATACATGGTTTATTTTGAAAATTCTTTTAGAATTTCCTGTTTAAAAATAATAGGTACTGGGCCAGGGATTTAGCTCAGTGGTATAAGTGCCTGCCTAGCAAGTGCAAGGTTGTGAGTTTCATCTCCGGTATCAAAAAACAAAAAAAAACAAAACCATAATAGGTACTATACTCTTGGTTAAAAAATTAAAACATAGAAAATTACAGAGTGACAAATTTCCTTCACATACCATATACCTGCTTCTATTCCTCTCTTTCTGTGAAAAGAAATAAGATAGTGTGGTATTAGTTTCTTTTTAATCTTTCCAGGTATTTTTAAATAGATTTTTAAGCCAAAATGCAAATGTATATTTTGTCTTAGTTAGAACTATTCCCTAGCCCTGGAGGTGTTTTTTTAGTATAGCTACATAGTAGCAGTTCTTTTTAATTTTATTTTATTTATTTTTGTCTTTTTGAGACAGGGTCTCGCTGTGCAGTTCAGGCTGGCCTTAGTTCACTTTGTAGCCTAGGCTGTTCTGGAATGCACAACGATCCTCCTGCCTCAACCTCCCGAGTGCTGGGATTGCAGGCATGAGCCACCACGCCCGGCTTTTTAAATTTTATTTTCTTAAATTTTAAAGCGAATAAAGCAACAGAACAAAGCGGATCACATCAAAACAATGCAAGTAACACAGAATTTCCAAACAAGACAACAGGAAATCACAGTGACTACCACAGTGTCGTGCTTTTTTTGAAATAGTTGTCCATACCTTCACATACAATAAATTAATAAAAAACAAAATAGTATAAAACCAATCAAAACAAAAGAATGAGGAGCCTTATGGGCCTTCAAAACCAGACACTAGGAAATCAGTAATGGCTACCATAATATGTCTTGTTCTCTTCGAAATATGGGCAGCTACTTTCACATATATGGAAATCAAATAATAGAAAACAGACTTCAAAACAAGATGATAGGAAATCAGTAATGACTACCATGATATCTTTTTTTCTTCAGTGTAGTTGTTCATACCATCATACATAATCAAATCAAACTCTTGTAAATTCTTTAGAAGTTCTAAGGCATGTGTAAGCCTATTCATGGACATCTATCCTTTCTGTATTAGAGGGAAAAACAAAGTATACGAAAAGCAAGAAACAAAAAGAGACAAGTAAATAGCAATAACAAAGAGTCCAAACTTTCAAAACAAAGTGGTAGGAACATAACACTTTTTTGCTGTTTTGCATCGTTATTCACAAATGTGTTATTCAGATTACCAGATATAGACATGCAAAATTGATCTAATCCTGTGAACACTGTTTTGTTCCAAAAACTAATAGAATTAGTAGTACAATCATCTCAGGATTCATTAAGTGTATACATACAAATTTATATCTTTTTTAAAAAATTAAAAAAAAATTTTTTTGTACAGTGGCACTGAGATTGAGCACAAATTTATATCTTGTTTCTTTTTTTTTTTTTTTTAATCGGTACCAGGGATCGAACTCATGACTCCCTGCTTGTAAGGCAGAGCGCTTATGCCGCTGAGCTAAATCCCCAGTCCCTATCTTGTTTCTTTTCCTTTTCTCTTTTTCCCTGGGTTATTTTTTCCTCTTTGAGCAGTTTCTTACTGTTTCACCACATTTATTGTAGATTTTGTATGTTACTTAATCTTTCAGGTTTTTCACTAGGGAGACAATACAGTATTCATGGTACCAATTCTTTTATTTATTTATGATTTTTGGAGACAGTGTTTCCCTTTGTGGTTCAGACTGGCCTTGTACTGTTTAGCCTAGGATGGCCTCACAAGTATCCTCCTTCCAAGGCCAGGGATATAGCTCAGCACTATAGAGCCTGCCTGGCAAGTGTGAAGTTCTGAGTTTGATACCCTGATACCCGGTACCAGGGAGAAAAAAATAAAAAGATCCTCGTTCAGCGTCTGACTGATTGGTTTATAGGCATGCACCACCACATTTGGCTCATAGTGGCATTCTTTACTAATCTGTGTGTTGGCATTTTTAATTTTTTTTTAACTTGACAATATATCTTGGAGAGCATTTCAAATCAGTGTATAATAGCTTGCTCTAGTGTTCTGTGGAGTTAAAAAAAAAAAAAAAAAGTGTTCAGGCCTTGCATCATCCCCCTAAATCAGACACTGAAGCTTTGGAATCTTCATTTTTAACACATTCATAGCTAATTCTAAGTGTATGTTTAAGTAGCAGAAACCCACACTTGAGAACCATTATTCTATAGTATATGTAGTTAACATTGTTTAGCCGAAGAGAAAGTTTTCCTTTGACTTTTAGGCAATACCTTAGGTATTATCTGTTTTAATGAGGTTGAAGGTATTTTGTAAAAAATCAGGTTACCTTCTCTATTCTTCCAAAAGATAATACTGTATACAAGAACTGTCTTCTTTTTTTTTTTTCCAGCTCTTTTTTGTGTTTAAAAAGAGCTGTCTTCTTAATAGTTCTACATGGTAAAAACTATTTTGACATAGATAAATACCATGTAATTCAGTTTGAAGTTGCAGGTTGTTCTTATAAATCACCCAACAGTATTTATTTGAGGAAAAACTTTTTTTTTTGTCTTTTAGAGATAGTTTCACTATGCAGTTCAGGCTCACTTTGAGCTCACTTTGTAGCTCAGGCTGGTCTTAAACTTGAAATGATCTTCCTGCCTCAGCCTACTGAGTGCTAGGTTTGCAGGTGTGTGCCACCGTGCTCAGCTATTTGAGTAAAGTTTTACATCAGGGAACCAATCTTTTTTGGGAGGAGGGGGAGTTGGTTTTTGAGACAGGGTCTTGCTTTGTAGTGCAGGATGGTCTTGAATTTACTACATAGCTGAAACTGGCCTGGAATTTGACGTATCTTTCCTGCCTCAGCCTCTCAGGTACTGGCATTACTGGTATGTGCTACCATGCCCAGCAGCAAATTTGTTTTTAATCCTTTCCTTTTCATTGTTTTTCTTTTTGTGGTGATAGGAATTGAATCAAAGGCCTCACGTATGCTAGAGAACTGTTCTACGATTGAGCCACATTTATGAATGTGACTTACTTTTTTGGGTTTTTGAGATGAGGTATTGTTTTGTAGTTCAGGCTGATCCTAAATCAGTACATAGCCTAAGCAGTCCTCAATTCATTGTGATCCTCCTACCTTAGCCTCCCAACTCCTGGGATTGATTACAGGCATATGCTACTACCATGTCCAGATGAATGTGACATTTTTAATTTTTATTTATTTATTTATTTATTTTTGGTCTTCTTAAGACTGGGTCTCCCTAACGTTCAGGCTGGCCTTGAGCTCACTTTGTAGCCCAGGCTGGTCTCGACCTTGCAACAATCCTGCCTTAGCCTCCCAAGTGCTGGGATTACAGGTATGAACCACTATGTAAAATTAAAAAATTTTTTTTTTACATGTAATGCTGGAGATTGAACCTAGGGTCTTACTCAGGAGTTCTATCACTGAGCCACATCCCCAGCCTAAAAGTGACAATTTTTGAAAGTTGGAGGGAATAAATTTTTAAAAATCATAACAGTAACTCCATATACTAGCAATATTTTTATAAAATTTTAAAATATTTGCATGTATTACTGGTCTCATTTGATCTGTGCTTCTAGGCAGTCATTGATTAGTATATTACCATCCAAAGTGAGAAAAGTAGTGTAAAAGTTTAAGTAGTACTAGTTGTTGTGGTTTTTTTTTTTTTTTTTTTCTTTTTTTGAGATAGGGTCTTCCTATGTAGTTCAGCCTAGCCTCAAACTCGCTGATCCGTTGAGTTCCAGGAGTGCAGTACCACACCCAGTGACTAGTTTATTATGCCATGTAATAATTACTGATTTTCAGACAGCAATTTAACTTACTTTTAATGGACCAAATTCTGCTGAAATGAGGTGTGAACAGATAGCAGGAAGCAATAAATTTAGTTATCAGATTAATCAGAAGTATCAGATTAATAACCGTAGGACAGTGTTGTTTGAACAACTTCATATGGCATCATATTTTTCCTTTGGTTGATGTATCCTGATTTTGGTTGTATATTTATAATCATAATGCAGGTCTGTCTTTTGTAGACCGTTAAAATCATCATGGAAAGTACTAGTGTTATAGGAGTTAAAAGGAAGAATAGTTTTTGTTTCTAAAGAGATTGGGAGTAGAGCATAATCACTTGTTGAGAATCAAGGAGGGTGGTAATGGGTAACCTTATGAGCATTGTATCAAATTGTGAATAGAAATAGAAGGAGGGTGTGACATTTCCCTCCCTCTCTCTTTTTTCTTTTGTCTTTTTAGACTGGATCTCACATCTAGTGAGGCTAACTTTGAACTTACTGTGTAGCTCAGGCTGGCTTTAAATCTGCAGCAATCCTCTTGCTTTAGACTTTCGAGTGCTGGGATTACAGCACTGTGTGCACTGCCAGGCCCTCCTCATATTTCTCTTAAGGATGCTCCCTGTCAGTTTTTAAAAATAGGTTGGCAGACCCTGACATCTGACTTTCGACGTTTTCTTGTTGCCTTTTTGGATACTAATATGGGCCTTTATTCAGAATGGGAGTGCTGTTTTCTGATTCCATTTATGGCAGCGTATATTAATTTTTTTTT